AATGTGTTATAGAATACGTTGTAAACCGCCACTACTTGCGGTTTAATATGACAGCTTTGTTAAAAAAAAATGGTCGAAACCAAACGCTTAAATCAAGCAGTCCTTAAGACAACTATTATATGAAATGATTCGTCCTTTTTAGAATTTCTTTTTGCTAATTGGGTAAAACACTAATTTACCACCATAATGCGTTACGATAACCATTCAGCATCATCGACAGATTATATAACGGTGAACTAACCAATATCTACAGATTGAGCGTTTGCTTAAAGCACGACAATGTTGACATATTTCACATTTTTTTTTTTTATAATCTTTAGTAAATTTTAGATTTCAATTACAGTTACCTAAATTTGAGTTGACCTTCTATAACCTGATATTTAATATTTCAATGGCTCTCCCAGTAATAAATTGAGCCCGAAGTTATGGGGGTCAGGAGACAAAGTAATATGGAACATTAGTCACTACCCAAAACAGTTATGCTTTTATTTTAAATGGAACACTTAATATATTCGGTGTTCAATGGGGAATTTATATATCTCAAAATATTATTAAGATTACCTACCCTCAAAGATTTTTCTAAATCTTCTAATTTTATGATTTTATTTTTAGGTAAAATACTCAACGGTAATAACAAGATTCACAAAGATACAACTAATGCTACTAACAAAAATTTCATTTCAATGTATCTGAGCTTAACTGGTTTACCTCTACAGTACACTTTTTAATAGTTTTCATCATCAATCTGCCCACAGATAATGTGAACGTTAGTGACGACAAAAAATTAAAATTGCCTTGACAGCGTTAAAATATTATAAAAATTAACATTCAGCCGTCAATTTTAATTCCAGGGTAATAAATCTCGGATGATCTATCGATTTAGGCCCTGACTCTCTGTCGGTATAAAATTTTAACTTTCACAGATATTTAACTCGAGTAAGATAAAATTTTATGAATGGATTATGTGTCATTCATTGATAAAACGTCTAAAAGTCTTTTAATATACTTTGTTTTCTTCCTCAATAGTGCTTTTACTATTAATTATGTTATTTATTAATGAAAACTATTAACAGCAGTTGATCCATTTGTTTGTTTAACTGGCCCAGTTGATACCATTCAATTTAAGTATTTTCTACAAATATCTGTGTTAATATCTAAAATATCCAAATTAATTTTTTTTCAGATAAAACACAGATTTGGTGTAATGTTATATGACAAATTAGAATGATTGATGTATTCATATGTTTTCGGTCACTTCCCGTTTCACCAAATGTATTGATAACTCCTCGGTATTTTTTACTTTATTCAATAAAGTAACATTCTTTAATGAACCATGTGGCTGTGTTAAAGCACTGTTAATCAGAAACCTTGGAAAAATAGATTTGATCGATCTAATGTCTTTCGTGTCGGTCCAATCATATTTCAATTTTTTTTAAATGGAACGAGGGTGGGCTCATTAGCATATTTGAAGGAGCATTTTTACAAATAATTTGAATTTTTCACATGATACAAGTCAAACGCGTCGTTAGCTGGATCGCATATTACAATTCAAATAAACCATATGCGAAAATGCGAAAAGAAAGTTACGCATAATATATCCATTCGATTGAAGTGTCATTTTCAATCGAATAAAGTAAAAAAAAAATACCGAGGGTGCCATTTAAATCAAAAGTTGTAGTTATTTCCGGTGAAACAGGAAGTATTGAAATCAATTGAATACGTCAATAATCCTAATTTATGTCATGCTTCCAACATGATTTTTATCAGAAAATAAAAAGTTGAAATAACCACATTCACCAATATAAACTCTATTATATTTCAAAGATATGTTCAAACAAACCTTTTTTCAAATTGGGGTAACAAAATGTATAAAACTATCTCAAACTCAATTACATTAACATTTAAATATTATTATTTTTTTTTTTTTTTTTTTTTTATATTTTGAAAATAGCAATAGCTTTGGGTACGGTTGTGCGACTCCAATTTGACTCCGGCATTTCAAGCCCAGAAGAGAGAGCCGTTCGATATTCACTGGGACAAACAGCAGAACTCATTGCCCGGACTTTTTGAAAGAATTAAAATATTGACTCTTCCTTCCTTTATTTATATTTGAATCCGTTTGCCTAATACATAAACATGTATCAGCTTCCTCAAGAAAGGCCATCTCACACTTATCCAAGGAACGCGGAGCAAGATCTTTATCTACCTACCCCACGCCCTGAGTTAGTTAAAAGTTCAATATTATACAACTCGAAAAAATGCACAATCACCTGCCATTTGAAATCAAATCCATAACCTCATTTTTTTCATTTCGCAGAGCATCGAACTCTTATTTACTAGACAAAGCCTTCTACGCCGTAAATGAATTATATTTGAATTGAAAATCGAATTTGATCTTGAAAACACTGGGCTAATGTTTGCTATTGCTATATTTACTAATGACATAGAAATTAATTTATTTAGAGGTCATCGATATTTTGCTATAAACTGGCTACTATTTTTGAATATTATTTTTAATTGTTTTATTCTTTTGACATTGTAAACATTTATAAATGTTTATTTTAACAATAAGACTGACAATATTATTTGTATAATGTTTTGTATTATCTTTTGTTTGTTTGTTTGTGTACCTTGTTTTTTTTTACTTTGTTTGTTAGTTTACCTTTGTCTACAAATTGAAAAATTTTTTGACAATAAAGGCTTTTATTTATTTATTTATTTAGCTACAGGGTGTTAAAGTCTTTATAATCTTTCGATTTATTATAATTTTTTTCCAAGTACACATACTGATGGAATGGAATGAAATTTTGAGGATAAAAGTTACTATAACTGCTAGATATTTTAATGATAAAAAAAGTGTCGATAAATTCATCAGTTATCATGTTTATTGAAACTTTTTTTATATTTTTTGATGAGAAATCGATGAGCACTTGTTTAAAATTTTCACCAGTTAATGACATTAGATTTTTTTAAAGGTTGCCATTAGACTTGGATCAAGGCAAATTAATAAAATTCCGTTTATCTCATCAAGGAGGCCGAAATCGAGAAAATATCAAGACACAACTTTTAATCGACATTAAATTATTTACACTGTTTTGCAAACAAGAGAAAAAAAAAAGTCACTGGCGTACATGCTCTTTTTAGAAAAAGATTCCAGTGATAACCCATATGCACGTCCCTGGTGACTATGTCGACATTTTTTCAGCTTTAAAATATCTCGTATTGATAACTTTTAAGTTCCATTTATCTGCATTACCTAACCCTTTTATTTATATATATATATATATATATATATATATATATATATATATATATATATATATATATATGGAGTATATATATATATATATATATATATATATATATATATATATATATACTAGTATAGTAGTAGTAGCAGTGTATATATATATATATATATATATATATATATATATATATATATATATATATATATATATATATATATATATATATATGAAATGAACAGCTTGTTAAGCTTTAGTGTATATTATCAGTTTTCTGTTTTTTATTGCTTAATTTCTGAAAATCGAAAGTAGAGAGTCAGGTCAGTAAAGAGGAACAGCTTGCTTTGAAATGGGCATTTCCACTTCATTGGCCCGGAAGCTTAAGCCTACCTTTCATCAGGTGGGCTGTCCAGGGGCTGGTTCTCACCGATACGGCAAGCAAAAACTTCTTCTATATCTACAGACGAAGTCGTAAAGTGTCGGTGAGATATTACCCCTTTACGACAAGCAAAAACAATTTCTTTTTTATTTTTATTTTTTTTAATTTTTCTCTTAGCTTTCGATTTTTCGAAATTAGAAAAAATACACAGCTAAAGGCAAGAAAAATATTTTTTATTAATATACAATTAAAGCTGTAAGAATTTTGTTCATTTCATATATTTGAGCGGGCCGAAAACGCTCTTTACCATCTTTTGACGGGAGATGCACTAATATCTCACTGACACTTTACGACATCGTCTCTAGATATAGAAGAAGTTTTGCTTGTCGTATCGGTGAGAACCAGCCCCTGACAGCCCACCTGATGAATGGTAGGCCCAGAAACCGGTTGTGGGAGTGGAGCTTGGTTCCCCTTTTTACGACAAGCAAAACAATTTTTCTTTTACTTTTTATTTTTTTTAAATTTTTTCTCTACTTTCGATTTTTCGAAATTAGAAAAATACACAGCTAAAGGCAAGAAAAATATTATTATTAATATTATACACCAAAGCTGTAAGAATTTTGTTCATATTTCCCATATATTTGAGCGGGGCCGAAAAACGCTCTTTACCCTCTTTTGACGGGAGATGCACCAATATCTCACCGACACTTTACGACATCGTTCAAGCTGATATAGAAGAAAGTTATTACTTTGCCGTATCAGTGAGAACCAGCCCCTGGACAGCCCACCTGATGAAGGGTAGACCCAGAAACCGGTTGTGGAGTGGAGCTTGGTTCCCCCCTTACGACAAGCAAAACAATTTCTTTCTCTTACTTTTATTTTTCTTACTTTCGATTTTTCGAAATTAGAAAATACTATATATATATATATATATATATATATATATATATATATATATATATATATATATATATATATATATATATATATAATATAATAATAATATACAAGTATTTCAACTGGTAGTATATTTCAACCCCAGAAACTCGTCTATGAAGTATTTTTCGCAAAAAAAATTTTTGAAATTTTTTTTGGAAATTCTTTTAGTTTTTAGTTTAAAAACATAATGTCTATGGCAACATAGGTATTAAATTATATTTACAAGAATTTAGCAAAAAATCATTTTTTTGGGAATTTTCAAAGAAAAATAACTCCGTTATTTTGGACTTATTTGAAAAACGATAAAGAGAAAATATGTTTCTTTTATCGAGGTCTACCACCCCTTAAAATACTTGCACTTATTTCTGAAACACCCTGTATAATTGGAAATGTTTGAATAAGCTAGAAATGATGATGATGATGTTGATACTTACAAGACTTTTAAATTTGGTAAATGCGTTGTAAACACTTCCGGTAGTATTTTCTTCAACTTTGGCGCCCTGTAGATGTATCTGAAATAAACAAAAACATACGTTATATTCTTATTTATATTGTAGTCAATTCAGAAAAGCAATTTCTATAGAACAAGCTTTCGCTTGGTTATGCTTTTAAAGTGCAATTCCGAAATGCAATATACACTAAATCAACTAAATATAAAGGACTTAAGCTTGGAATTTATTATGCGCTTTATTTAGACAGAATCTTTATTATAGTACTATAGGGTGTTCCAAATTCGAGGGTGTCTATTAAGTTCATCCTCGAGAAATTAAAAAAAAATATTTTGAAATAACATCTAGATATATAAAATGCTAATGTTTTTCTGTGTCGTCTCTACTGAAGTAACGACTTGCTCTAGAAAGTTGCTTTTTTTACTAAAAGATAGTTAATTGGCTCTTCTAAAAACTGTCGTCGCCGGATTTTTTGTTTTTCATTTAATTAAAAAAAAATAAGTATTTTTTTTCCTGATGTCGTGGCGGATGCGCCAGGCTTCAACTAGTTTAGTATATTTTAGTATTATATTACTAAACCATTTTGTGATAATTAAATATTTCACAATATTGCCAAAAATTTCATTTATGTTCTGCGAAAACTCGCTACCGTTTTAAATTTTTGATACGAATTAAATATTTAGAAGATGTTTTAAAAGCTGGAAACAAAATAAACATACGTTAAAACATCTTTTTTTCATAGAGCTTTAGAATACATACATGTGATAAAAGAAGGAAAAAATGGCACTGACTATACAGGGTGGTCAGAATTGTAATAGGGAATCGTCGACAATAATATACTCTGCAGATAAAAATAAGTAAAGAAATTCTTATATTTCCAGTTTTTAGTTGTTCATTACAGACACGGAAGCAGCTAACGATACCTTTATAGTCTCTCAAGTTTGCGCCTGATGAAGGGATCTTCATTAGAGGCATAATATTCTTATTAAGATGTTGCAGTGTTTAAATATGTAATAGGTCAAAGTTGTATTTTTAAAATGGAACACCCTGTATATTATTACATTTTAGTTTCCCTACGATTAAAAAATAAAGGTAATTTGATTAAGGTTTATTATACTTAAACCTACTGTTTTTGAAATATTTTCAATTTTGTGAATTTTTTTTTTTTTTTTTTTTTTTTTTTTTTTTTTTTTAATACTAAATATTTTGCTGAAGTTTATTTATTGATCAGTTGTGTTGCAATAATAAAATAATACTACCTCATGCAGTGTCTAAAAATTTATTTTAAATAATTTCTAGCTTTAAACGCCAATAACATCTTTAATTTTAAATTGAACGCCCTGTATATTTTAGGAGAATCAGGATACAGTCTTTAATAGTATCTGTCAAATACATACTTTTTTTACTTTTCCCTTCAAGTTGTAGAAAATGCATTTTCTTGCTAATTTAGACCTCATTTATCAATATACCCATGAAATATTGACATTTTAGATTACCTTAAAGCAACAAATGTACAGGATAGAAATATTATCGTTTTTAGCTTATCGTTTTTAGCAAAACCGATAATATTACTTAGCCCATTTGTATGCAAAAAAAGAAACTATTTAAATCTTTATAAAAGGGTATACCATTAATTAAATATAACAATTCTATTATTTTGCCCATACACTAATTAATTTCATATACTAACAACTAAATCTTGTTTTTTTAATAAATTATTCTAAATAAATGTGGATTTGAGTCAAAAATAAATATAATAATAAAGTTATCAAAATTAAAGTCTCTGTGGTTATAATAACATTTATTTAAAAAATGAAATGCCTTTGTAAGGTGTAACTTTACTCACAATTTGTCTAATACCTTATACAAAATTCAGTTTTTAGTATTTGGAGTAATTGTCATTTAATCAATCTAAACAGTCAGTTAAATGTAGTTTGAATACTGAAACCATATTAATTGGTCCTCTTTAACAAATATTTAAACAGTTTTTTTTATTTTTTAATGAAAATAAACAAATCATATCGACAATATTAGTATCTGGCCTCTTTAAAAATTTGGTACATCTTTAAAAATGACCTAAAAATGTCAATATTATTCCGGGTATATTTGACAAATAAGTTTTCCCAAATTACAAGAAATGCATTTTCTAATGGAAACTTGTAAAGTAATAAGGGTAAAAAATGGTATAACATAATTTGATAGACAATTTAATGTGTTGTTAAAATTTGTGCATCTGATTCTCGTAAAATATACAGGGTGTTCTATTTAAATTAAACAAGTTTTTGCCGTTTGAAGCTAATAATTATTTAAAATAAATTTTTAGACACTCTGTGTAAGGTAGTATAATTTTTATTATTGCAACACAATAACTGATCAATAAATAAACTTCAGTAAATATTTAGTATTAAAAACTTTGATACCCTTGGAGAAATGAAGCCTTAAAATTTTTGTAGAAACTAGAAATTTAATAATATACAGGGTGTTCCATTTAATAAAATACAACTTTGATATTTTTTACTTATTTGGGACACTCTGTATCTTGTAAAATTATTTCTATATTGTAGCTCTAATAGTCCTTCAACGAACCCAAAACTTAAAATTTGTAAAAATCTCATCGTTTAGCTACAATACTCCGTGTCGTATGTGGTGAACAACCCTGTATGCTTTGTTTCGGAGATTCAGAGTGTAGAAGTTTTTCATTTTTATTTAGTTTTTTTTTTTCTAAATAATTTCTGAACTAACGACCAAATTTGAATGAAACTTGGTATAGTCTATAAAATGAATAACTTTGAATTTTGACCGTTATTTTTTACCAACATGGCAAATATATAATCCCTCTGTCAAAAAAGTTACTAATATTCTTTAAATTGAGTGCCCAAACGAATCTTTTTACTTTCGTGAAATAGAAAAGGAAAATAATAAAACAAGTGAGAGTTCTTCCCCTTCTTGCAAAAATCAACACATAATATCATAATTGTCAAAAGTAAAATGTCAGCTTTTGACATTTCTAAAAATCAGACCAATGCCGTCTCTAATAGAACAGCCTCAAAGCGAGATTTATGACGTCATGCTAGTTAGATACTACGGATTAATGAATATGTTGTAGAATACATGGAAAACATAATAATTATTCCTCGTATTTTTGGTTTGTATTTTAAAAATGATGTAGTTTACATGACTTTAAAGACATTTTTTTATTATTAGTAGATATTGAATGTTTTTTGTTAAATTAGAAACCCCAACATTTCAAATATATTTTACATTTTACCCATTATCTTATGTACCTATTCATTATTTGTATATTGTAAAATATTTGCTGCATTTGTATGGTTCATAGTTTATATTTATTACTATAAATAGCTATATATATTGTATTTATTAGCTGTATATTATGCATATTTCATGTAAACTATATCATTTTTAAAATACAAACCAAAAATACGAGGAATAATTATGTTTTCCATGTATTCTACAACAAATGTATTAATGCGTAGTATCTAACTAGCGTGACGTTATAAATCTCGCTCTGAGGCTGTTCTATTAGAGACGGTATTGCGTCAGTATGGCTGCAAGTTGCTAACCTAATCAAATTATCACTAAAAGCCCGCAGGAACTGTCAAATTCAAAGTTATTCGTTTCACAGACTATAACTGGGCGTTTCTTTACATGAGAAATTCGATTTCGCTGTCAGTATGACTCCCACTCATTTGTTAATTACATTTCCGCTGTTTTTTCCGTAAAAATTGCTACCAGCAACCGTTCTCAAAATTTTTGGAATCGAAATAATCCATACATATCAACATTGTCAAAAAATAAACATGTTGACTAGATAGTTGTCAGTTGTTAGACCGAAATAATAAATTTGGAAATGTTTTTGTGCCAAAGGTTTAACAGTTCTAGAAAACATTATGATAAAACAGTTAATAAATAAATTTAAAAAAAATAAAAGTTGCACATTATGCCCATAGCAATTTTTCGGTTATTTTTATCTTTAGTATAACCTGCTGAAGTTTAATATAATATTACTTTACACCCTGTATTCCTTTACAAATTTTTCTGCCAATTTTAATATTTCCATAAATTTATCGAGTGTCTAACTTGTAAATGAAAAAAAAAGTACTACAACAAGGTTTTCACTAAAACAATTCAACAAAAAATATTCTTTAATAATAAATTTTGAAGGAATTGTGTAGATTATATTATACCATAAAAAAAACTTGTTAACAAAGCGAAATACAAAGTAAAGCAGCAAGTATTTGTATAATTTCCAAAACAGCGACCAGTTTTTGTAATGCTTATTTTAAGCCCATTCCTCTCACAACGATCCGATACTCCTACGTTGTGTTAAATTAAGCAGAACAAGCAGATACCTGTAGATTTACCGGTCTTAAGGGCAATTTCTTATTTGAAATGGCGCCGAGGACTGAATTCATCGCTATTTCCTCTAAAGCCAACATTAATTTCATTTGTGGGACGTTCCCTTTAACAACTGTGAATCCCCCTTGATTTATTTTCGAAATTGTACCCCATATACAGGGTGTCATTGAAATGGTGCAAAAAAAAATCGGGGGGTGATATTACTCCTAAAAATAGTAAAAAAAGTTCCTATAAGCATAGGGTGGAAAATGCATATTAAAAGAATTAGGGGCATTGAAAGGGTGAATTTAAAAAACGGTTGTGTTGAAATTGTAGGCTTAAAAAACGAGATAAAATTTCGAAAAAAAATCCCCTGCCATAAATTTTGACCCTAAATCAAATGGCGATAATGAAAAATTATTTGGAAAAGCGGAAAGGGCAGTTTTTGCAAAGATAGGGGATTGTTTCGCGAATAACTTTTTTGAGGTTATTTTTTTTGCAACGTGAGTTTAGTTTTTGAAAACTACATACTCTTTTCTACAAAAACGGTATTCTTGTTTCACACCGCCCAGAGCGATGGTTTTCGAGAAAATTGAAGGCAAAGAGGTTGCTCTGATGGGTTGCTAACTGGTTAATCAACATAAACTTATGAAAGTTATGGCGGTTCAAAAGTAACCAAGTAGTTATTAAATAATTAATTGGAAAAT